CCAACCCATCACCCGATGAGGTCACTGCCCAATTGTTCGGATGGTCATCTCGAATTGAGAAAGCAGTTGACTTTACCTTGAAGGCTCAACATGATGCCAATCCTTTCGTTCATGTACAGCGGTTCTTACCGAAAACATTTCGTGGTCGATGCGCTACACCACGGCTTATTCGTGCCACATCTCCTACATCTCCCAAACGGGACGTTACCAGACAGTATGAACCACCAGCCGAGACCACGTCTCTTAAAAGTCGACATAAAACTCGTCAGGTTAGACGCTTACGCTGTCTTGAACGATTATACTCTAGACATCATCTTGATCGCAGTGTTTCTAATCAGCCGCTAATGGGATTGCCATATGCCGATCTACACCAGCTTTGGAAGGCTATTTGTCGGGCTCAAGGTTGAGGTGGATGGGGTTGGGAAGGGAAGAGGGAGGGAAGGAAGGCAGGGGAGCGAGACGGGAGGTGCAATGGTCGATCCTGGGTCCATTGAGTCCTTCAATTTTGACGCCATTCCGGCCATGTCGGTTGATCTCCCGTCTTTCGATCTCCTATATTGTGCCCGACAACTCACGCAAAATGACGCTGATGCCTTTTGCCAGTACGAAGCCAAGCTCCGCCGACTTTCACGTAAACATGAAATGGAATTAGATACTAAGTTCAAATCCGGAGCTCATCTCTATAAACTTTTAAAGGCGCATGAAAATAAAATCCTGCCAGGATTCCCTACAACCATCACGGCGCAGGCCACTCTACGGCGGCTCAGTAAAGGACCCGTTCAACTCATCCTACACCAGCCAACAGCCTTCCGTCTCTTTGCCGCTGTTCGTTTTGGTAACGCCTTATTGGGAATCACGGAACAACGAGACAACCACCTTACTTGCCAGCTCCTTGAAGGAAGTGTGCCTGTCCAAGGAGATCTTACTCAGGAGATCTATGTTACTGATGTCCATGAAATGGCACAACCTTTTCAAACATATTGGCAGCAGTTTTGGAATCGTGACAGTGAAGAAGAAGAACGTTCGGATCACCCCTGGCAAGAAGTCATCCATGATCTCCGCACCCGTATTCCACCCTCTACTTGCCTTACAGTCTCTTGGGATGACCCGCATATCGTAATGCAAACAATTGCTCGTCTTAAGCCTTTTAAAGCTGTAGGCATTGACGGGTGGCGGCCGGAAGAGTTGCAATCGTTACCACATGACGCCATAGTTGACCTCACTCAGACTTTTAAGCTCATCTGGCCTGCTGGACTATCAGCACATCAACTCATTGCCCGCGTGGTGCTACTGGCGAAAAGGAACCCAGCCACATCTATTACTGACGGCAGACCCATCACCATTCTAGGCTATCTTAGCCGTTTGACCTCCAAACTCATTGCTGACCAATTGCTTGGGCAGTGGGCCACAACCTGGCCGAGTGCCATCTCAGGTGGCCTACCCTTTCGTGGAGTACAGGACGTGACATTCCTTCCAGATTGAATCAGCCAAGACGAGCCATCAGCCATGGCGCGGTTTCACCCTCGACCTCATCAAAGCCTTCAATCTGTTACCCCGTCGAGTCCTCTATCCCTGGGCATCAGATATTGATCCTAATCAATATTCTTGAAAAGAATCAACAATTTCTATTGATTTGGGCGCGTGCTTTTTCAATAGAAATTCTTCCTCAAAGCCAAGCAAAAATCAATAGGAAATTCAATAAACAGCAACATGGTCAGCTTGATCAAATTTGATCAAATTTGATCAAAAACCAGCCAAATTTGATCAAATTTGATCAAAAAGCAGCCAAATTTGATCAAATTTGATCAATACCGGAATCAATATCAAAATCAATATGATTTTCAATATTTTTGGCAAATCAAAAATATTGATATTTTTTCGGTTTATTGATTAGGATCAATATCCGATGCTCAGGGATCATTTACTCATCCATCATGGGGCTCCTCCAGCCTCTGTAAAGTTTTGGTTTACTAACCTTACACGACTGACACGTCGCCTCCAGGTCCGAGGCCAGATCGGACCATCCATGACCATGACTACTGGGGTTCCTGAAGGCGACAGTATGTCCGTTTGCGCAATGTTGGTCGTATCCTCCGCCTTCTATTGGACTTTGCATTCACCTACGATTCACCCGTATGCACACGCCGACAGTCCAACAATTGGTAGAGGCCTTACGTATGAAAATTGACTATACAAAATCCTGGGCCTGGGGGGGCAAGTACTGATGCCCGCAAAGAGTGGAAGACATTCTTACATGAAGAATTTCCCCAGGATAACCCAGTGTCAGTTCTCAACTCTACACAAGATCTAGGATGCATGACGCATTATACTAATCATATTGTCTTGGGGCATCTTTAAGACCAAAATAAATAGTGCCATCCAACGATGTCGCCGGCTGCGATGGCTCAAAACTGATATTCTACAAAAGGCTCGTCAAATACAGACTGCCATTTGGCCTCATGCATTTTATGGTGCCGAAACACAGGCCGTCGGAGACGTGCACTTCCGATCCTTGCGCAGAGAAGCCGCCACGGCTTTAGTGGGTCCTGAACATCATATTTCCAGCTGGTTGGCCCTTCATGTTTTTAGTCCCCACCTTCAGGATCCGTTGCTTTATGTCATATCCACAGCAGTATCGTTTGTTCGTTGGCTTTTCCATACTAACTCGACCCTCGCTCAAACCTTCTTAATGGCTGTAGTCAATCATCATGGTCCTGCAGTTGGTCCAGCTGGAGCACTTGCCCGTTACCTTACTCTTATTGGTTGGACGGTAGACTCTACAGGCCGGCTCACCTTAGATGGGTATTTTATCAGTCTCTCTTCGGAATGATTCGCTTCCGCACATTAGCCATTCTCTGCGACATGCCTGGGCGTATCGCCTCGCACGCCAAATTTGCCATCGTAAAGGTGTTGATCAACACCCTTTCGATTTCGCCATTCTATCTCGCGTCCTCAAGTCAATGTCTGTCACTAGCATCAAACAGATAGCTTATATTTTGACCGGGGGATACCAAGTTGGTGCAGTCAAAGCAATGCGGACTATCACGGTTAGTGACCTCTGTCCTTTCTGTGGCCAGCCTGATACCCATCACCACCAACAACTGACATGCCCAGCTTTTTAGAGATCGTCACCCCCAGCCCATTGCTTATCTTGACCGCCACACGACTAAGCTATGGTTGCCGCTGCCACATTCTTTCCCGGACATTGCCGTTCTCAGACAACTCATTGCCCATAGAGGCCAGGACTCTGGCCATACCCCAATCCGCCTCCACAATGATACACTTTACTTTCACACTGATGGTTCAGCTGACACTCCCCTTAATACTGATACCAGACGGGCAGCATGGTCAGTCATTCAGTTCAGCTCTACATCTACCACTACCCCTTATCTTACCATTAAAATCCAGCATGTGGCAGGCCCGCAGTCCATCGCCCGAGCGGAACTCGCTGCCGTAACTTGGAATGTTCAACACGCTGTCACTATCGCCACAGATTCTCAATATGTCATTAATAGCATCACTCAGATTACCCAATCTAACCACCGTCCTAATTGGCATCGACTCGCACATGCCCTGGGTAATGCATGGGCGGACCAGGCCGCAGTTCGTGCTCGACAAATAGATCATCCACTTTGTGATACCCTGGTGACTCAGGCCCAAACATGGCACACAGATCAGTTCAGCCAAACCAAGGCCATTCTTGCCTACCTTGCAGACCTCAACCTGGAACATGCACAACTGAAACAGCAGACCTCTGCTCAATCCGTTTCGCCATCCTCGCACGATTCCACAAATGATTGGGGCACGATCTACCGACTCCGCGAATCACACCAGATCGCGTCTTCCGTCATTACGCTTCAGCCTACCATCCATCCTGCATTCGTGACGGCCTGTGTATGGGGAAACCAATATGCAGATTTAGTGCTACGCTTTTGTGCCTCCTTGAAATGGCCAGACCCGTCGGTGCTGCAGACCGACCCGACTACTACGGTGGGGATTACATGATTACATGGCACGAACTGACAGTCGCGTTTATCGTGAATACCGGCTTACAACTTCCTGTCTGGATCCAGACTGCGTCCACCTCCCGTGCTCGTCCCTTTCTGGCAGGATCCTCAAGTCTTGGCACTACCGGTCCCTAAAAGATCACTCCGGAGCAATCCGAGGCCTTTCGTAGTATTGTTCTCTATCTGCAAGGATACTCGGATGGACACATTGTACCAGCCTTTTCAAAAACAGGTTCTAACAGTCTTGTTCAAATTGGGTGGGGACGTGCATACACTGGTGGTTTCGCCCTTCGTCCGGAATTACCCAACTCTCGAGCCATCCAGCGTACCCTCATGCGATATGCAGAAGATTTACACTGTAAGCCTCCCTACCATCCAGACGGTTTGGTTCCCATGCAGTTCGCAAAATCTCATTTTCTGGCCATTGATACTGATTACCTGACATTTGAACAGCGATTTTTGTATCGACGATACCTGCGACAAGCTCGTAAAAAGCATGCGGCATTGGATCAGGTGGCCATCCCACCTGCTCCTAATTCGTAATTTAGGAACATGTTATCTAAGTGCTGCGCGGACATTCGGTTTCACTTAGTTAGCCAACATCGGTTCCTTCTTTTCTGTATAGAACTTAGGATACTCCCTACCGTACCATTTCACCAAACTCCCGAGCACCCACCAACACGGTGAAGGGCTCCGGGAAGCGCGGCGACCGATGCGCAAGTTGTGTGAGTAGTAAGGCCAGGAGCCCCTAGTAGCGTCCTTGCTCCCAGTAGCGATGCCAGGAGCCCCTAGTAGCTTCTTGTTCCTAGTATGAGGTTATATAGACCTAGCATATAGACCTAGCATATTGACAAGAAAGTTTGTGACCAAATCATTTCCACGTGAATTCAAAGATACACTAGCATCGTCTACATTGTCTTCAAACATGTTTTCTTTTGGATGCATGGATCATTTGCCAGAAGTGCAAAATGTGTGGAGAGAATATGGCCCCGCCTCGACTGTATAATTTCCATTTGCGAGCGTGGAAGCAAAACCTTCTTCCACGCCAAAAATACCTTGGCCAACGCGGCAAATTCGTGCGAAATTGTGTGTCCTACCCATGTGTTGTAGTTGTAGACGCGCATGACCCTGAACATCAAGAAGTTAACAAGTAGGCCACACACACCTTTTGCAGGTCTCCAGGGTGGCATCTCCCCGCGTTCTTTGCTCGTTTCCGAGGCCTTTATTCCAACAACAGCAGTGCCTGTTTGGCTTTGTCTTTGCCTTTTGGGATCTTTTCAAGACATCCCTGAGCCCATACCATTATTCTTTCCGCACAAGTAAACGATGGTCATGAGCCCTTCTGGGGATCTTGGGAGCTGGCTGTCGATTTCCCGAGAAGTGAAGTGGTTGGCAGCAGATCCAAGGAGAATGGAAGATGTTGAAAGGCATGCATATGGTTCACATGGATGCACTCGCAATATCTTTCAATTACCTACCAAACCCTCTTGGGTTATGTTTGTGCAGTGGATGTAAAATGCTGTTGCAGTATATATTTATTAGCTTTGTTTCTACAGTGCATTAAATCACTTCAACATATTGCCCCACTTCATCACCAGCTTGCCCGGGTCAAAGCCTTTTGCTAGGTCCGAGCTATTGACGGACATTGATCCCAGAACTTTACAATGACTGCGAAGAGCAAATCTAGGCTTCAAATGCTTAAAGTCTTTCTTTCAACACGGCACTTTCCATTGGCAAAATTCAGAATCATCCCACGATAGACTTGCCACGGTCACGGCTGCCGTGGTCACTATGTTTCATACAATGAACTGGATGATGACCCACAAGCGGCGGTCATGAAATGTGATGCACATTGATTGGTAGCTAGGGCAACCGAACCATTTGTTGCCAAGGCTCCGCTCGCAAATCTGTTTTGGTTCCAGCGGCCATCATGGAGCAAAGCTTCAGCATTTTGTTGACTTGCTCGTCGTTGCCGTACAAATCGCCTGACCGTTGACTCCCCATTAGATAGTCCACTACAGAATCCAAAATCATAATCCCACATTCAGAAAGAAATTACAATAAATGATGCATGTTTTTGCAGGGCGGAATGGGGAAACCAGTGTGGCGGATTCAAGTCTTGGAAAAAGGTGCATCTTCCCTTTGAGCATCTTTGAGCCCAGGTCACTGGCATCTTCTTCATTGTTGTCGCAGTAGTCCTCCATCATTTTCCTTGAGAGTTGGTCTGTTTCATTCGTCCCCTCAGACCTACGAAGACCCGATGAGTAGGCACAGAATGCATTGATTTAACATTGGGTATTTGCTCAGACCAACCGCCGTGAGCTGGGTGACGAGTCAAAACACTCAGCTGAGACACCTGGTGAGCAAAAGTAGTATTTCAACTGAAAAAGATTATCCAACTAAACACACCAAGACTCTGTCCAAATAAACTTATATTGTACAAAATGGTAAAGTAGAGAGTACAAAGGTCTGGGTCGGTCCCACCCCAGGCACCCAGGCCCTCAAAGCAACCACGACCCCTTTAGTATCCCGAAGTTCTTGTTGTGTTCAACTCTTTCAACTTTGATAACAAATATGATTGAACCAATTTCGAACCGAGCGTCGTAAAGAGACGCCCGTACAACGTAAAGAGATCTGCATGTTGGCTTCGCGTCATGACCTGCAGAGACGTAGATGGATCCTCCACCCGCGCGTCAAGGATTGATCACCCCGGCCGTCACGGCAGTTGAGCAGGTTACATGTGAAAGGATACATAATGCATCAGTATGTGTATGACATATATGTATATCTCTAATTGTATAATGTATGTATTATGTCATATATATATCCATATTGTTATATTATGTATCACGATACCGGACGTATAGTTGCTTACCCGTGACAAACCGATGGACAAATCTAAAGAGGTGGAACGTGAGGCTACGCCTTTCTGGATTTAGTTGATAGGAACATTGTGACCACAACAGCAATACCGAAAAAACTAGAAGTCATCACCATTGAAATCTGCCTACGTGGATCTCCTTTCCCTAAGACATTACACGTCAATACAAATCTTAGGTACTTTGAGAAATCTAGCAACATCCAAACTTGGTCAAGCCTCACCAATCTCCTTACTCCCTCCCTTGGAGGCATCTTGCACCGATGCACAAAGCCCTGATTAGTCGGGTAGTGATGATTCGTTCTTCCTTCAACACTGCTTCCCAGGTTCTTTCCTCCAAACTGCTGTGGCTTTCTCCCGCACCTTGCGAAAGGTCATGGCATCCAGGCTGAAAAGGTGAGAATTTCTTAGCCGGCACGCGCAGGCGGCACCAGGAGCCCGCCGTGGGGTAAACAGCGTGTGAGGCAGTGAGAGTTGCAACTGTATCCATAGCTGGGCCCACTGTGTTCGGAGAACAAATTGTTGCACCAGAAATTGGATCATCTACTGGATCATCCCTGTTGCAGATTCACTGCAGGTTTGAAGTGCCCTAGCTGCCGATTCTGATGAAAACAACGAGGATGAAAGAAGCCCACAGTAGCAAAGTTAAGACTACATCCACAGAAAGACGTGCCATGTAGTGCAGCACGACAATTGGCATGGCAGTGCATCTTTGACCTACTTCAACGCAACTCAACTAACGTATAGTATAGATCAACTTCTCGGGACATCTCAGGACCAAACAAACATAAACCTTCCAATGTGCTTTTGCTGCTCCAGCGGCCTCAAAAACACGGGAGCTTTTCTGCCATGATTGTGGGTTAATTACACCGAACATCCTATATACTTTCCAGCAAAGAGCAGGGACCAACCGAAAACTTGATCTGAGTTTGCTGGCCCTTAGCCTTCCTAAATTTTCCTAAGGGGAACTTCGTGATTGAAATTCTTCTGGACTCATCCGCTTGTGGTACTTGGGTGAAACAAAACACAACGGAGCAAAAGGCTCAGGCACTGGTTCTTAATATATAATTCCACCCTACTAGTATCTTGTGGGCGGTCAAACCCCAGTGAGGCTGGGCTTGTGCGGATCTGAATGGCTGGTCTCTGCCCAGCTTCTGAGCTGTGCATGCCAATCTGCCTCGATAATGCCATTGCATCCACAAGGCCGGCTCGCCTCAGATTTTGTGTTCAAAAACCAACAGCTTGCAACCAGGTTGGGAACTGCCTCTTAAAGAAGCCAAAACCATGAATCCACGTGAGCATTGTGTAGATAGATACGTATAATTATATATATATATATATATCGATATGGTGACGCCAGTTACGCCACACTACACCACCCTAGTTTCGTGGAACATGCCCCTTCTTTGAGACAAATCCTCTTTGATGGCATGTGCCACCTTCCACGCTTTCTTGAAGGGACTGGAACAAAAAACTAGTAGGTTGGAGGCCATTACTACCAGTAACAAGAAGCTACTAGTCTCAAGAAGGTCACGAATCACTTGGCTTGTGACCTGGCAGATTCCCATCTGTCCCCAAACACCATTTCAAAACGGAACACCAACGATCCCTTCAACAGCACTAAAGGTGTTGCCGGAGACGCCACACAAAGGAACAGATTCATCTATTTGAGCCTACAGTAGAACATGTAGATGATCTGATCCCGGAGGACATTTAGGTGGGGATCCATCTAAACGACCTTTTTGGTCTTGTACCATCACCGGGCCATCTGGGGTCTAGAGCTGCTAGGCGACATTCCAAATTGAGAATGATGACACAAGCCCCAGGTCAAGTTCAAGACTCAACACTCCAAAACGACAAAACGAGAATCCGGGTTGCATGACTATAGCGCTTAAGCTTTGCATTAAGTTTTTGTCATCTGCCTGACCTTCGTCCAAGCCACTGATCCGTGAACCCGGATCGATCTCATCCGTCAAATGTGGCGTGTGATCGAAGTTGTAGCCCAGCTCCCCAGACCTTCCCCAAACGATGAATCTGGCAGCTCTTCGGGGTAAAACAAACACTGGTTTTCGAGTCTTTGTCGACTTAGTTTGCTGAAACGTTCTCCGTAAGGGAACGGTCCGGCGAATGAAAAAGCACATGGAAAACACGTATAGTCGAGTATAGTAAACCCGAGTAAACTTTGGCAAGAGTTCGGGACAAATGGTCTGCGCTTCGAAAAAATGACCCTTGGCCCTCATCGTGGTCAGGTGGGTTTCCTGCTAACGAGGATGGACCATGTCCTTGAACTGTAAGGATCCACAACGGACCCTGCGGTTGCTGAGTTGCCTTCAGTATCAAGTCACACCTGGCTATGTTGAAATTAGTGTACACTTTCCACCAAGACAGTTCCAATATCTGGTATGGAGGAAAAGCGTCTTCAAGTCGGAAACCCATTTCTATGCCAAAGCTAGTTGATCGCTGTAAATCAGAAGCAAAAGGACTACCCCGTGGAAAACAGTCTTTCCAGCTCCCATTCTCAGAGTCCATGTTAGTTTTCGGGAGTGGTTGCCACTCTTTGGGTTCAATAACATAAAGAACATGTTTAGGAAGGAAGGTAAACGAATTCGTCCTACCGTCCTACACTTGCAAGTTACTGAGTGGTATACTGAGTGGTATAATATAAATAGAAAATGCGGCCTCAGTCTGATTTGAACTGGCTTCACTTGCACTTCCGTGTAGGGTTGTCGGAGGAACTTGGCCGGCCACTCGCGTCTGGAGGAAGCATGAACACACATCAAGGCCTCTCCTACAGCGACCCAGGTTGACTCAACCACTAGCTACTAGTGTGCAAAGTCGTTCAAAAGATATCGTTTTTTTTCCTGAATTTTTGTGCTCTCTTGAATCTTGCACCACATAACGCTATGTTGGGGGTCAATCAAGGCGCCATTGTTGAGCTGTTTCCACAACAGGCCAACATAATTGGTGGGCATTTTTCCCATGCCAATGACCAAGCTTGACCATTAATTAATTTATGGCCTTCTCCCCGTCACCTCTTTTATATAACATTATCTATCCTCTTCCTTGCTGTCAATCCAAAGTCAGGAAACCAGGTATTAGGTGTGAACACCCTTCAAAGCTGACCCCCACACCAAAAGCAACCTGGTGTCCCGATGTCACGTTGCCTCACAAAGTACATCTTGTCTCCTCAGTCCAAAGAGGCGAATCTGCTGCACAACCACTGAGTGTTGTGTTGAGTCATACAGGAAAAAGTACCATCACATACATTATATAACTGAGGAAGTTTGACCTATTCTCCCACCTGTTGTCAGTGGACTGCTTGACTCCTTCAGAAGAGATCGAAGGGGAACAGCAGTGGAGACAGAAAGTGAGGATAAATCCAAGAGATCTAAGGGTCTCAGAACCAACGCTTACCCCTGCTTCCTGGGTGAACTAACATGAAAACTGCCAGAGTTTATGGACAATAATTCTCTGTACCAGGGGTGATATGTGAGTTTGAAGGTCATATGTTTGGAAGGGTAAGGCTACGTCTGGGTTGAAACCCAAGATGAAACATGATGGATTGCCGAGGCTGCCCATTCTTTGTTTTCATGTGCGTGAAGTTGAAACAGTGGGAATAGTTGCAATCGCATCACCCGGCCCGGTGAAATCACCAGTGACCCCTCGGAATCACGTCAACAAAAAATCCATCAGCAAAGGGGGGCACACACTGTGGGGTGAGTGAGAGGGCCAGAAGGCTCCGAACCCTGAACACCATGTACAAGGTGAGCTCCAAATAGAGCATGAAGAGACACATCTCAATGGAGTCTGTGGCAGTCCGTGCACAGAAACCACCACACGGCCCAGCAAGCATCGCAGGCCTTTTGGATTGGAGGCATTAGCAGTGTCACTCGCCGCATGTGACGAGTAGCGTCGCGGTCAATTCTCCACGTTCCAAGCCACTCATTCTTTGAGTGGCCCAAAACAGACCGAATCGGCCGATGCCTCCTGGAAATCCAACATGACACATCATGATACATCTACATAAAATGATACCAATGACTCAACGACTCACCATATTGCCCGATTATTACCCCGAAACTAGACTGGCTTCATGGCCTAAAACCATATAACACCTAAGTGATGTTTTATGCGAAACCCCTTTTGATGTGGTTTAGATTGGTTTAGGATTGTTTACTGTAGGAGGTTGTCAGATTGAAGATGCTTCCGGGTGATTGTTCTTCATGAATGAATCTGCAGAGTTTACACAAAGGTACAACAAAAGGTGCAATGTGCCTGCAGTGATATATAGAACACCTTCTTGTTTTGCCACTTCCACACCCCTTCCTAACAAAGAAACTATTACTCCACATGATGCACAGCCATCATCTGCATTCCCTCCCTAAAATACACACCACGCGTTGGACTTCCAGGGCAGTAGACTTCATGACTCAACGATAGATTATAACACACTATGGATCCTTCACAAAACCATTGCCAGCTACACTGGACACTGAGTGAATTTCAACAAACTGGAATCTGTTGGTAAGATCCTCGCCATATTGGATGTATTTTGGGTTCTTTGACCCTATAACCACAGGCTGTGGGCATCGGTGGCCTTGGCCAAAGCATTGTCCGACTAACAACCTACAATCTGTTGTCCCCGCAAATGCATCTTCTGAATGCCCTTGTTCCATGTGCATCCGTATTCTTCTGGTGGACAAGGCTGCCTTCAGGTGTTTCACACAGGCCACCCAGGGTGTCAGTGCCTGTGGGTCTGGAATGTTGACACTCACAGTGCCCTACGGTGTGCCCTCCTCGTCCTCTGAGTCTGAAGACATCCTCTGGCCCGAGAAGCCGTGCAACATGGATGCGTGGTCGTGAATGTCTTCCCTAGTAGCTTCTTGTTCCTAATAGCTTCTTGCTCCATCTTGCTCCTAGTATTAGTAAGGCCAGGAGCCACTAGTAGCGTCCTTGCTCCTAGTAGCGATGCCAGAGGCCCCTAGTAGCGTCATGATCATCCGAGTCATATCAAAACTGTCATTGGTCTCTTAGGTTTTGACCCACGTATAGCCAGCAACAAGGTCACCCAAGTTCTCACAAGCGTTCTCACACTGTTTCCTTGATTCTTTGCAAAAGTTCGGTTCTCCAACATGATGGTCAGTGGAATGAAAGGAAAGAATGGAACGTAGTCATCATCGAACCAAGTATCTTTTCGTAGTCATCTGGGTCATCCGGCGCGCATAGCCGTGCAAAGCCCAAGGGCATCGCAGTGGAACATAGAAAGCCCAGCAAAGCAACCACTTCTGCAGGAAAGTGGTATTTGAAGACCAAGTTCATCCCGACAAAGAAGGCAATCTCGAGGCACAAACAAACATCATGAAGCTAGGCAATTTCCCGCGCATGATGCATAAGTACCCAGAACCCCGTTGACCGCTTTGACCCTTGCTTTGGAATGTCAAGTCCTGAGCAACCTTGCCTTTCCCTATAATTTTCGAAGTAGGGAGGGATCGACTCGGTTGGATCGACAAAGTAAATTGAGGCAAACTTCTGGATCTTCTCTTGTATATTCTTTTATGCAATCTGACTGAGAGCAAGAAATTAATGAATTCTGGGTGAGCAGTTCGCCAAATCGGCTTGTGCAGCGGTTCCAATCGAACGTATAAGGCACCGTTACCACGAACAACAGTGCAATCAAACAGGTTTGGACCAGCTCTTAGTTAGCCTTGCTGCTATTGCTGCCGGTGCTTTTCGGGAGCATATACTTTGTTAGCATGTATAGTGCACGCAATCGGTGCGAAGCCCTACAGTCAGTGCAGTGCGGGGTTTGGTGATGCTATTCTTGATCAAATTCACTTCTTTTGCTTTGCTTTTGTTACCTTACTGTGCCAAACACCGCACGGGGCGCCAATGGTCCATGATGGTGACATTGGACAGCCATACGTGCAATCCTAACCAAGCAGCAACGTGGAAGAGAACACCGTTCAGCACACACGCCGCCGCGAACTGGACGCTTGGCCGAGTGATGGCAAAAACACCAAAGGCAAACCTTGGATCACAAGAGAAAATCACCGTGGAAACTATTGAATACTGTATCTGGTTTCAGAATGAGGACAAACCAATGAGGTTTCATCATATTGTTTCAATTCCTCTGGTACTTTGGTATTTAATTCATATGGAAGTATTCAGTATATGGATCAGTCTCAAATTGCAGGGCTTCCAAATGCCGAAAAGTAACATTACATTAACTTTGACATATATTGACTATTGATAAGACACAATTGGTCGGAGTCTATTGATCTTGTTCAAACAAACAAAATTAGATGATAACCTTGTATTCATTACTGCCGGATCTAGCAATCTCTGTCGAATCACAGTCGCTTGTGACGATTAGCTAAATGCAATTTCTAGAGCCAAGCACCAGCGCCAGCACATTCATTGAAATGGACAGAATGAATGAACGTGTTTGTTTGCTTCTTCTGCAGCTACTGCAAATATATGCAAATATCAGCATCCTACTGTATGTGATAGTTCCTATGAGCTAAGCATAGATCCATTCTGACTTGCAAAAAAAAGAACTAAGATGACCAACACCAGTGGGTGATGAACCAGGATGAAACAGGTCAACGGCTATTTCCCCCAGCTCGACATGCCGCGGGTTCTGCGCCCAAGCGACATGAAGAGGCTCTGAAAAGCGCCTGGGTTGTAACCTTGGAAGAGCCATGGCATCAAGTGGCCGCCGAAAGCGTTGACCACCTCGATGCTTCACCAAGTCGGACTTTGAGCGCAACACGTTCAAACAACGACTGTGGGAATTGGTGATCTACTCGCAGGAATTGTGCTCGCAGTGTCAACCGGTTGTCACACCAGGAGTCACTACCGTTGAACACAGAAATGACGAGCTGGCTATACCGGCCTGCTTTTTCTGCACACATGCATCTACAGTAACATTACAGATTATGAACCGACACGCGTAAACAGTACAAGATTACACACATTCGACCCTAAGCGAACGCTCCGAGTAGCGCTCATCCCCCAATTGCAAAGCCCGGCAAAGGCATAGCGGCCCCGGAGATAGTGGGCCACCAGCATTGTAACGACAAAGCCAATCTGGGCAGTTCAAGACGGGTCCAGAAAACTGGCAGTCAAACTGTTCGATTCAGGAGGGATATCCAAACACTTTCCTTCACATGGTTCCTTTCAGGTCCCAAAGCCATGACCATGCACAAATAGGAACAAAAACGACTTCACATAATATGTTTCTAGCTCATTCATTCTTGACTCATGCCTTCTTTTAAAGTAGTCTTTATGTAAGTAAACCAAGGCTCCTGGCCTCTAGAGGAATACAAAGACTATGAACATGCAACAACTTGCTCGTCACTGACAACCAAAGAAACGCTTCCACGGAGTCGGCCGGTGCAGGGATCCACGGATGAGACACAATCTGATATTATGTCATGCCGGGCTCAGCAACATCCACATACATAATGAAGGACGTCCATGATAGTCAAGATCTTTTTACTGTCCCTGGTATTCCCTGGTGAGCCATCAGTGCCATCGATGCCATTCGATGCCCCTTAATCATCGAACCAGCATCATGGGGCAGTGATCATCAAAGGAAGCCCACGAAACCTCTTGAAAACCCAAATGCTGTTTTCAACGGCTACATGACACGCTAAAGATGGACGATTAAAAGGCTCCGTCACCAGTCGAAGGACAGTAGGACAACTTTCACACTCCTCGACAGGGACTTCACGATGGATAATTTTGTCAGCTCAGTTACCCAAATCACAATCACGTTGATGTAGGTGGCCATGCGTGCGTCGAGCGGGCAGGTGATGTGTGAGATTTTGTCGCACTCCTGGTGGAGGTTAGGGAACACCTCCTGTTGCTGGTGAATGATCCTGCACCAATACCCGAAACATCCTGAAGCATCCTGAAGCTCCATAAGTCCATATAACTCCATAAGGAACTTGATTGTGACTGTTACTAGTTTCAGGATTCATACCACAACTATCCACAACTAGCATAGAAAGTCGTCCTTCAAGTGGAATCAAACGACAATAAGAACTACAACCAACTACTATCCCGATGAGGGTATCTGGACAGCAAAAACTGTCCGTACCCTCGCATGTATTATGAATGCTTCTGGAAGACTGTCAGCAATGCCCAAACAACAGTAGCAAGTTGGACTCAAGTTTTGAGACTTTAGGCGGCCTCTTTTGAATAAACGAATGCGCTTGAAATGCTTTTGGAGCCTTACTTCAATTGAATGAACAAACAAACTGTTTTTCCCCCAATGACCAGGCCTACGACCTCCCATTCTGAGTGTTGCGGTGGGGTGTCGCATGGCAAAAAGGGTTCTTATTCTTGGCGGTCCTTGAAGAGGATCGGGCCTAGCTTGTAGTTAAAGCTTGGGACAAAGGCATAGCGCCAGCCGCGCAGGTCGTAGGCATGCTCCTCCCATCCAAAGAAGTGAACAAATATCGTCTCTCATGGGCGGTTCTTGCTTACAGTAAATCATTTTGATTTTTTTGAATCAGGCGGTTTTTTTTCTTCAGGCTTGGTGCCGCAGAAAACGTCGCAATGATTCAGTTGCGATGCATCAAACAAAGTACATGTCATGTCTCCCGTGACAGCCAAAGCTGTGGCATGCTGTGGCCCTCCTCTGTGTGGTGGCAAAGGTAGAATGCCACTGAGAGCCACCCCAGCACATAAGGATTTCGAAGTGCTCCACAGAAGCGAGACTTGCTCAGCAGAAATGGCAGGAGAAAAGCTGCCTGGCACGGGCTCAAAGGGCGTGGCATTGAAGACTTCTGCAGTGTTGGCAAATGTTTCAGTTTTGTACATTTGGACACGTTCGATCTCCAAGCTATTAAGGCTGGCGGCTTGCCCTTTCAATCAGCTTTGCCTAAATACAGGGACCGGTGGATGAGAGGTCGAAATCGAAAAGCAACTTCTGCTTCCCACCATTTCCCACCTCAAAACAAAGGCCAGTCAGGAGTATCCCATCATTTACGGACTTTTTCTTGCTTTCCACTGGCTTCCAAGTGGTGGCACCGAAACCTTCTTCGACAGATCTCCTCGGATCCGCCAAGACACAGGGCATAGGAAGGTGCTAATGAATGGCCAATTGCCATCGAACCAGGAGGCATCCTGACGAACTCCAGCCGTTTTTTTGGGGGTGTTTGGAACTTACAAATGGACAAATAGAAACTTCAAAACAGATAATGCCTTGAGACCGAACCCCACACACACATAAAAACAAGTAGCTACAAAGCGACGCAAGCAAAACATCCATCACTCCATCAACAAACCAAAATTCAAACTTGGACAGTCTTTTACATTATTAATGGAACTAAACAGAAGCGTTCATGTCATTAAACCAAGTAAACAAGCCTGTGTGTATCTGGATGTGTCCTAAGGACTCAACACAAAAGCTTTCGCATGGCCAGCGCTCGGATTGACCCGGGACCCAGAAGATCCTCCAAAATCTTTGGGCCCGACTCTGCTGTCGGCACGGGGTTTGGCATCACCATGGCAGCAGAATCTACTGGGACGTCTTTGTTGAGCAATTTGAGCCACGGTCTCCAGCTGCAGGTGCGTTTTGGTCTTCGGAGGTGGTAGCGGGGAACCTTGAATGTGCGACTGGAACAACATTTGACAACTTGTTTGGGTCTGCTCCTCCTGTGGCCTCGTATCTTGTCAAGGCCTTTTCAAGGTCCCACAACTCGTGCGACCCATTCGGACCATCTCAGAAATGGTTCGTCTCTCTGACTCTCTAAAGTGGTTCTTAATTCCGTACTACGCATGCCGAAGATGGCAACGGAAAAAACATGAAAAAACAACACAAACCGCACGAAGGTAATTGAGAAAAAACGTCAGCAAAAAAAGAGTTAAAGGGGAGCTCTTCTAAACTGGGTGGATGTTGGTGGTCTACGGTTATCCTAATCCGCCGACCCCACGCCGTGGGGTGAGGCGTGACTGTCGATGTTAGCCGTAGCCTTAAGCCTTAGCCTTAGCCTTAGACCTTAGACCTAGTCCTTAGCCTTAGACCTAGACCTTACCTCCCCTACCCCTCCGGACCCTTGTTGGAGTGACGAAATCCTGCCGGGAAAGCGACCTGGATTGTCCAAGAATCTGCCATCCCAATTGATTTACATCTTGGGGCACCCTCTCGACCCGCGCGGGAAAATAAGCACGGTCCAAAATGGTCCTGGGCTCGAATCCCGGGCTGGTCGCGGCATGGTCCCGGCCAATGCCCTTGCTTTTTCGTAGATTTTGTCACGTTTTCTGTTGGTTTATGAGATTTTCAAAGGCTTTTCTGGCATTTTCCTAGGAATGCTCTAGGCTTTGTCTTTTTGGGTACCTGCTTTGGTGGTGCTGGGTTGGGTCTAAATTGGTAAACCTGGGAGGTACCCAAAAAGTCGACTTTTTGGGTACCTGCTTTGGTGGTGAAGGGTTGGGTCTAAATTCTTGGGCAATGATCGGGGTTCATGCAAGAGCTGACGTCCGATGGTAAATCTGGGAGGTACCCAAAAAGTCGACTTTTTGGGTACCTGCTTTGGTGGTGCTGGGTTGGGTCTGCACTCTTAAGGCTAAGGCTAAGGCTTAAGGCTAAGGCTAACATAGAGCAAGGCTAGCGCTAAGGTTCTATCCCTTGGGGGTCGGCGGCTGCAGGCGGTAGCCTGGTAAATAAATTACTGTAGACATTTTTGAACGGGTTGACATTGACACTTCGAAACCACAACTAGACCCTTGTGAAACGTGCACCAAAGTAGATTGAACGGGCCTGCAGGTCAAGGCATATGTTTTAGTCACTTGGGGGCATCCTCGAACTAAGTTCTTGAAGGTTTGTGGAGCAATGCTGTGTGCCAACCAAATTACAGGCCACCGTGCTATGTCGGATTACAATTACAACAAATTAGTTTGCAAGCAAAACAATGTTGGCATCACAAGCAGCTCACCAGTGTGCGCAAAAGGGAGCCTAAGCGGGGGACCGACCAAGTCTGAAGCCACGGCCGCATCGGGAGAAGCCTGGTTTCCGAATCTTTGCTGGGAGGTGGAAGGTCCATAAACTGCACGAGTCATGGTCAGGAGGAGGAGAACAACAAGAACACCAACCGGCAAATGCAACAACAGCAATGGCCCAAATATCCAAAAGTAACAAACCCACGGCTCGAGTTTCTTGAGTTTCCTCATAAACAGACACCAAAATGGGCGTTGGGGGTTTTCCCCCTAAAATCATCCGAATCACCGGGAGTTCCAGCCTGATAGAGCTCCTCGCCAAATACGACACTCTGTTCTTTCAGCGCTCGGTAGCCTAGAGGCCAAACTGTTAACTTGGCTGATGCAACTCGGTCAAACAAGTCTCCTAACGTTGATCTATACAGGACAAGTTTGGGGATCTTGGGTTTCACCTGGGGGAACAAGAGCACAAGACTCACAAAAAACATAGATTCGTCTGCAAGCAATTGTGTGATTGTAAATGGCTCGTTGAGTGTCTACAAAAGTCATGGATGCAGATGCAGACTATAGAGTGGGAGCTTCGCATATTGTGTGAAGTCCTACTATGAGTCATGTGTTGAAATCTCGTTTCGGCCACTACATACCACATACTATGCTCCTCTCGTTTCACCAAGGCACACAAGGTTGCTAGTTCGGTGTCACTGCCGAGGTTACTGACCTCAGTTGGTGACTCCGAGGCGCGGTGAGGCCGTGGAGCATCTCCGCGGATGATAACTAGTGATATCTAGTGAACAGTAGCTTCTTGCTACTAGTAGTAATGGCCTCCAACCTAGTAGCAATGACCTCCACCTAGTAGCTTCTAGCTACTAGTAGCTTCTTGCTACTAGTGTATGTCTCAAACTAGTCCATAGAAGAATAATGCCTCTATTAAGAGGCACACCAAGGACAATTTCCTTGGATAACTTGACCTAGTGGATGCCATGAGCAAACCATTGGATTGGAACATGGCATCCACTTGGTAACAAAAACCACGAGAATACCCTGGGTCGCAGGTATGTAAGCTTGAAGCCCAAGGGACGTGTCTGAGCAACCCATGAGACTCCAGCACCGGCATACCGACTTCTTGTTGCAACTTCACCAGCAACTTTCGAGGCAAACTCTCCTGACGAGCATTTGGGCGAATCCGAGGCACTCTGGCCCAAAACCTTCCGGGGCGTGGCTATAAACAATTTGTTAGTCCTCTGCATTCTTGAATCACTCTTCGGCTTGCCCATGGACAGTTCTCCGAAATAGTAGTGTCTCGTGGCTATGGGTGCCAAGAATCATGTTCAACTCCGGTTGACAACTAATGCTCTATGCCCTATGGCTGCAAGGGATCTGGATCAAGTTTTGCTATGGCGAGGCTTTGTGATTGAAGATTCAAGAGATGTTATGATTGGCATCTTGTGGACGTGTGCTCTTCATGCAGTCAAGGCTATACATATTACTTCTTAAGCTACTTCTTAGTTGCTTGATGTGATTGACGACTGTTTTTCCTTGTCTTTTCAATGCGATAGTCGCTGGGTGCTGAACTCGCTTTGGAAGTTAGTGATGGGGCACACAGTGAGGGTTGCTGCCAATGTCATTTGTTCGTCGCCTTTTGCCACCAAAGCCTGGGTCAATGGCTACATGATGTAGCCTTTTCACTCCGTTGACCAAGCTTATAGAGAGATGTGTTGCTTGGCCCTTCTCCAGTGTTTTGCGAGCCACTCAGTGGGCAGCCGATCATGTCGATCTCGTTAAGTTTTGGTGCCTCGTGTTTGGTCGCTGTTTGCTAGATGTATATTATATAATGTTATATATGTGTCTCTTCAGCTCTTTATATAAATTGACATCCTTACAAAAAAGGATATGCTAATGCAGCAGATTCTGGTGGAGGTTTGCATGCTTCCTGGAATTATGTTCTTTCTGCTACGTACTACATCTCTTCGCATCCATTGCCAAACCTCCTGCACCTCCAGCCTAGAGTTGGAAGGGCAGTGGGGGAGTGCGTTGGATCGTGCTCAAGTCGACTGTGGGGAAATCCAATCCCAACAAATCACAAAAGGAGTGAGCATTCTGAAAACCGCTGAAATGAAAGCTTGGGGGCGTGGATAGGTCACCAATCACAAATCTTATACAAGGATTCTGGATCAATGCTATGCCTGAGGTAACTTCTGGCGTAAGGCAGCATAAGGGCGTGAATTTGTCTGTGCCGGCTTGTAGACCACAAATCTTCATACAGTACATCTCTGCGGGTTAGATTGCTTTGGAGGAAGATGAAGAAGTCACTGAACACGCACATATCACACTACTTATGGCTCACATACAGATTTAGAATGATTTAGATCACATGTCCATGTTCAATGCAAATTGTTAGGTTTTGAGCCGTGGCCCAAGGCACATAATATACCCATGCTGTATGTTACTAGTGGAGATTGTGGTTGTTTTGAGATGTCCGCGATATAAACACAAACACACCTGGCTTTTGCATGTTTTCAAAATGTCTTTGGGATGTTGTGTATATTGTGACTTGGGATTGTGAAGTGTGTGTTTTTACATTTTCAACATGGGGTTGTCTTGCAATGTTTGGAGATCCCATGACATTCACTGCAATTTCAAGCACGCTCACTGGCCAATCATGTCCCTTGTACCACGCCAGGTGTCCAGGATCTTGATATCCGAGAGGACCAGCTTGCTGCCTCGTCGCGAGTTGGTTTCCCACTGCTTCGAACACCCTCATGTAATGGTACAGAATACATGGGATAATCATGGATCGTGGATAATCCATGATAATCCGAAGCACAAAACACTGGGAACTACTAGTAACAAGAAGCTACTAGTAACAAGTGCATTACTACTAGTAACAAGAAGCTACTACTAGCAATTACTACTAGCTGGATGTTTTTTGGAGATCACCGGGGCCAGATTCGGAAACGGCTTCACCTCTGAGGCCCGACGGGGGCTGCGTGGAGTGGTATTTGTGCTGTGTTGGAATGTGTCCAGCTGTTCTCCTCAAAAGAACTAGCAACCCAGGAATTCCGGCAATATACCCTGCAGCTCCAACTTTTGGTGGATCCTAATCATCTCCACTATTAGACCAAGTTACTCTCCTTTCCAAGACCTCTCTGCTGTATACATCTCAGGATGTCTGCAGCAAGCTCCACCTCAGATCCGGATGGCTCAATAGCTTTGTCGGAATCATTGCACCCCACCGATCGGCTGCCTCAGTCATACCCTACACTCAACAGCTGCGAGCGGCTCGGCCGGGCGCCATACGTAGATTGACCATGTAAACCCGGAAAAACATACATCAGTCTGGACTGAACCTTCATGGAATATGGACCGATGTTGTTTGTGCAATCAGTAGAAACAGCCCTTAGACGCCTACAACATCAAAAACAATATGACTGACTTCAATCCTGGTATTCCCGAGGCTATGCCCACCAAGGTAGAAGCGAGAAAAAGATACACGATACCTGAGAGTTATATAAGGAGGTATTCCTGAGGGACACTCTGACACTCTTTAGCATTGACACTGTTACTATGCAGTACACCTAAAGTCCAAGGTTTACACATGGTTTGTAGCTTTTAGTCAAGAGTCATGAGGGACGTGTACTGTGGTCGATTGGCAAAAAATATAACAGACCCAGCAGACCCTTCTGTGAACAGAACCCCAAATCTAAATGTTGGATGGTTTTGGACGAGCTGGAGTGGGCGAAACTAATCAAACCTCGGCGAATCTACATGGGTGCTGCATGGTGCTACTACTGTTTGAATGTTGAAATTCTGGGGTGCGGGGTGCACGAAGGGCTCAATGGGTCAGCGGACAAGCTAGGCCACAGCCATATCCTCCCATATTCCCGTGCTCCAAGTGGCTGAGACTTGCTTCTCGGTGACATAGCGACGGACCAGCAAATGCTGTCGGGTCTCTTGCCTCAAAACTAAGATTTCTGAGGTGTCTGAGTCTGAGCCATCAAAAACGATGAAAATAGCCATGGATAGTTGACGCATTGACCTGGAGATCGTTTGGCCTAAAAGAAGTGATGCATCAGTGCATCCTGCCACAGTGTTTGTCTCTTCTCATGCTGACTGATTTCTATGCCCACAATGTTTATGCCGGATTCCCCTGTGTCAGTGTCCTCATCCCATCAATCTGCGCCAAGCTGCGCAGTGAGCGCTGCCAAACGACCAAGCGCTTGATTGATGGAGCCAATGAACAGACTAAAGACGATGAGTCCTGGAAGGGCTGGAAGAAAGTCAAGCATCTGGACATGAGTTGGGCGAAGAGCTGCTAGTAGAATTAATGAGGAGTGAGTGGAAGCTGCTCGTGGCCGACCCTGGGATATGAGCTGTCTTGGATGGACACCCGTTGGCGAGGACCCTATGGCATTGGCATTCCCTGCCTATGCCCCTATCAGGACTCTACAAAAAAGAGAAAACACGTGTGCAGGACAGACAAGATTCTTAAGTACACACAAATCTGTTCGGTCCAATATCTTCCTTTGCAAGTCTCCAACATTGTCATGATGAGAAGGACCCTCCCCCGCCAGACCTCCATGAAGCCCGCACTTTCGAAACGTCAAAACATAAAGTCCAGTACCTAAGCAGTCCTGCAAGCGTCACCACCACAGAGAATATGCCTTGGCCAAACTAAGGTCGGCTGGGGTTTGAGACTATCTTCGTACTCCCCTGAACATGTTGTGGACGTGTCACACTCCATTGTCATATTGAGAATACGTGGCGATACGACTTTCGACAAGCGGCCGGGTATCCTCTCAAATAGATTCAGTTTCTTTGGGGGTAAGTTTTGATTATATATGACAATTACAGTATAGGTTGCTGACAGTGCAGCGCAACAAAGAACTTCATTGTCCGGCGAAAGGCAATGAGGGAATTTGGCAACTACACACCGCGATGTTTTCAAGCTTCTTCTGAAGACCTATTGACTCCAGCTGTGGAGAAAGCATTTCCCCAAATCTGCGGAAATGGTGGAACCCAAAAAACGAAACAATGAAAATCATTAATTAACTTATTCAATCTTATTCACACCTCTTGCCACGGTACGTTCGGGGACGTTCACCGCCGCAACATCGATGGACGCCGGCGTGAATTGCGTTAACGACCTCAGCACCGTTTTCATTGCGGGCCGAAGCTGAGGCGCGTGGCCCGCAGCGGTCACGGGGAACCGGTGGTGGGAAGCGTGGCCCGCATGGCGACGATTCATGGTGCCACCATGAAAACATATGAAATCTACATGTGGCACAGATGACTTTTTCAATGCACCAAACAAAATATGTGTCAAAACGTTGAAGAATATACAGTAACCTGATTGAAGGGCCTCTTATAGTCAGGGTCTACATCTTCACATCTTCACCTCTGCACATCCACATTCTCACCTATATCTCTGCTCATGTTCACATCTGCACATCTACATCTCTGCTCATCTTCACATCTGCACATCTACATCTCTGCTCATCTTCATCTTCACAAACCTACATCTCTGCTCATGTTCACATCTGCACATCTACATCTCTGCTCATCTTCACATCCTCACATCATCTCTGCTCATCTTCACATCCTCACATCTACAGCTCACATCTTCACCTCTCGCTCTTCTTAAGTTTCTCTCTTAAGGCCGGGGGCAGTGCCGCCGGAGCGCCACGAAACGCAACCCTCTGCGCAAAATCGTGCGTGTCGAGCGCACGAAATGCAGGCGAGAGTGCGATTTGGTTTTGTCCGGCGCAACCCTCTGCGGAGATCGTGCGTGTCGAGTGCGCGAAATGCAGGCGAGAGTGCGATTTGTCCCGGTCCGGGACAACCCTCTGCGGAGATCGTGCGTGTCGAGTGAGCGAAATGCAGGCGAGAGTACGATTTGGTTTTGTCGCGGGCAACCCTCTGCGGAGATCGTGCGTGTCGATGGAGCAAATGCAGGCGAGAGTGCGATTGGGGAGCTGGAAGATGACAACTGGCGACTATTTCTAGTACAACTTTAGTACGCGGAGTATCTGGGGAGCTGGAAGATGAGAACTGGCGACTTTGTGGTACAACTTTAGTACGCGGAGCAATCTGTGGAGCTGGAAGCTGAGAACTGGCGACTTTGTAGCGCAACTTTAGTACGCGGAGCATCTGTGGAGCTGGAAGCTGAGAACTGGCGACTTTGTAGTGCAACTTTAGTACGCGGAGTATCTGGGGAGCTGGAAGATGAGAACTGGCGACTTTGT